CAAGAAGTCTTTGCTTATGCTTTGTTTATGAGTAGATACCGTCGTGCGTGCGTTTGCTCAATATGCTTAGTGAAGGGCAAGATGTTATCGGCTCTATTAGATACAAACAAAATCTAAATAGATTCATTAAGTTATCCTGTGTTGTATGTTTTAAATATTTTATATATTTGTAACACACTTACCTTAATCTAGATTGATATTGTTCGCCCTCTCTTATGGTTTTATTCGTGCTTCAATGATCATTACTTTCGTATTACCTTTGCAAATAGATAACATGCTCGTAATGGCTGAATTATTTTAATCTAGATTGTCACATGTCGTGGGTTCATGCATGTTAATTACGTTTAAGCTTTGACGAAACTAGGTGTCGTGCGGCAGATGTAGGTTTTAGATTAGTTTAATCATGTTTATTTGCACGTTCCTTCTTCATGGACCCCAACTCGGCTGGATTGCTGAGCTTGGTTATGCATTAACTCATGATTAATTTCACTTGTTCAAACATGTCTTCCCATGCACATGCATTCGGCAATCGGATCTTTACGTATGCTCATCTTACGGTTAGCCGAATGGTTTATAAACTTGCTGGCAGATAGCTTCCTATAGCTGTATGTCATTATAAGTGGCTTCAGGGCCGTATATATGGAACTGTCTGGTCTCACCCGATATGTTCCGGTTTGGCATTTAACTGTTTTATTCCTTGTTAGTTTTTTTCAGATCAAACTGACTGGCACGTTTCCGGATCACGAAGCACCCGGGCACCCAATTGAAGCTACGCTTTCCGGCTTGCTGTGTGTGGGGCACAGTACGTCACATTTTGTGTCAACCGTACTCGTGTCACTTTTGTAAAGTGTGTACGTGCAACAGATTCACATTGGATTGCCCATGAGATTGTCCCACAAGCGAGTGCCGAGGGAACCGCTACATATTCTAGCACAAGAAAAAAAAATGTTCCACGAAGAAGTAAAATTAGTGTACAGGTAAAAATGTTAGTTGGTGCGACATAATGCATTCTATTCTATCCCCTATGCGACATATATTCAGCCTATTCGCTTGCTCGTAAACGATCGTAAATTTCCAGCCAGGAACAGTGTTTTTCTCTCACACCAAACCAGCTACCCAGTAAATAATTCACGATACGATACGGCCTCCCGAACAGGCTGATTATGCATGTGTATTTCGTACTAGCAACATGGAGAAAGATGAAAAGTATATTTTACTAGCAACAAGAAGTAAAAATGTTGTTTTATCTTAAATAGTTTCAATCCAAAACTTCTCAACTCATACTGCTCGCTTGGGTTTGTTTGGCTGATAAGCCATGGCTAAAAAGTACTATTGGCTGATTTAGTGTGAGAGAAAATATCTGTTCGTTGGCTGAAAAGTACGGCTTATAAGCCAAACAAGCCCAAACGAACAGGGTGGTACAAAGTTGTAGGTCACGTCGATGGCTATAATTTGATATAAAGTTCGCCTTCATCTAAATTGATATGAAAAAGTTAAGATTATTTTTAGATGTAACTATTTCTAGAGAAGGTCATTATTGGTTCTAAACTATCAGTTTTAAATCCATTTCTCATTATCTGTTCTAAACTACCAGTTTTAGAATTGATTTTACACTACCATTAGTACACAATCTCTTTAATGAACGTCATAATTAGTAACCGCCTCTGGTTAGGCGGTCTCCAAGCAAATGGCTGCCTCTGGAAATCATTTAAGATGCCCGTCTCTGTTAATCATCGATTTACACCTATCTCTAAAGTTTGCTATTAACAGATACAACCATTCTAAGTGCCTTTCTCTAAAAAAAAAATCAATTAACACCATTCTAAGTGCCTTTGTCTAAAATCAATTTTGTGGTAGTGTAAATGCCATTTTCTTACACTACTATCATTGCCTCTTGTTCACTGCTGATTTTAAACTGATAGTTTAGAACCGATAATGAGAAGCGGATTTATAGTAGTGTTCTATAGTAGTACAAGCTAGACCACCGGACACCAAATTTGAACTTTGAAAGAGCTTTTTCTTGCGAAAGCAACCGATGGTAGGGTATGAAATAAAAGTCATGATGAGCGAAACCGTGGTCTCTCGTTTGGGAAGCACACAGGAATCTTATACCAAGTGACTTTTTTTATTTATATAAAAAAATTGAAGGCTTTGTAAAAAGAGATTGATATAATTATACATACTTGTTTAGTAAGTGCGGGCATCCTCATCTTTTCCACGCGGCCTCTCTAGACGTTTAATCGAAGAAGTCAATTTTTTTTTCACGAATCACACACGTAGACACTCACCCTATCTTTAAAAGATTGATCCAACATATCTTAAAACTAGAAAAATACCCCGCGCGTTATTGCGAAAAAACACATACGATAAAATCATACTACTTATATGGACGAATAAATATCATAAAATATGTTAGTGAATGACGTAGCACTCTGATGTAGACAATTGAATATATGTTAGTGAATGCTGTGGTTTGTTGATGTAAATAGCTTGAATGAAGATATACTTGCATGTGCTAGTGGAATATGCTAGTGAATGCTGATGTAAATATCTTGTATGATGAGATAGAATACTAGTGGAGATTAAAAATATAAGAGATATAGATTAACAAATTCACCATATAAGCCTTGATGTCAACGGACACGTCGTCTACCGCTAAGAAAATAACGATGTTAAATCTGACACTTGCATTAAGTCAAAAACTTAAATTTGGATAGATAAATTCTATCATAAGAAACCAAACCAGCTGAGATACACGCTAATTTCACAAGCCAATTATTTGGCCATGTTTCCTTTCACTTCAATTTGCTCTGATATAGATATACATTAATTCAGAGAAGCAGGCGTCCGAATGCCCAGACGCTCCATTGCTAGGCCGCGACGCTAACCCAACCACAACCTCTTATCTGATCATCTGGTCGCCCCGCAACTGTTCTAAAAAACTCACCTCGCCGCAGCGCCGCGCCCGTGCTCCGCCGCGCTGCCTCGGTGACCGCCCTCTCCTTCGCGCCTCTCTCTCTCTCGCGCGCCTCTGCTCCGCTAGCCAACATCTCCACCTCGCCCAAGCGCGACAGCCGGTCTTCCTCCCTCTCCACTACACCTCCCACCGCCGCGGCCTTCCCCAGCGCACGGACCCGCCGTGGCCTTTTCCACCAGACCTCCGCGGCCTTCTCCACCGGAGTGGCGGGCTCCATGCCACCGGTAAACTCCATGCGCCGACGAGCCTCTATTTGCAAGCAGCAAGGAGATAGTGTGATGAAAGGGCATGTTGTAAGCCTATATTTCAAGTGTTTTAGACGTTTCATAGGTATGTTGCAAGTGTTTCATATGGATGTTGCAAAAGTAAAATCGGGATGTTGCATATGTTGAAATGGTTGTACACATATGTTGCAAGCTTCTATTCCTCATGTTTTATCTGTTTTTCAGACGTATGTTGTAAATGTGTTTATTTGGATGTTGCATATGTTTCACACATATGTTGCAAGTATTTTATCTGGATGTTGCGTATATTTTACAATTGTTTCAAGTGTTTTTCAGGTATTTTTGTAAGTGTTTCAGGTGCATGTTTCAAGTGTTTCATCTGTCTTCAGACATATGTTGCAAGTGTTGTATCTGGATGTTTTAAAAATAGATCAGGTGTTGCATCTTCCCCCTCACCTTCTGCTGCTTCGCCTCGGTGTCTCCGCCTCCTCCTAGCGTCGGCTAGGCATCCGAATCAGAGGCACAGGCGGGCACTGCCCGCTCCCCCTCTTCTCGATGCAGTGACGTTCGGGGCGGGGCGGGCCCCGTGTGAGGCGTGCGAAACGAGTGCAGGCGTCGGAGTCCGGACACGAGCGTCCGTCCGGGGAATAGCACCGCCGATAGATATAGGCTACTTGATTTGACCGTTATTGTTTTGGTCAAGAGAGCAAATGACTTGAACACCACCATTCGAGACGATGCTAATCTCTATTCGTGTGTGTGTGAGAGAGAGATTCTATGGGCGCTGCCTCTATCTACGTGGAATTTAATCTGACTTTGCTATACTAGCTAACATGATTCCAGCGAGCCATTCGGTTCGTCCGAAAGTTCTATTTGTCAAGTCAGATGAACGTGGGTGGGGGGTGGGCGTGGGGAGAGAAAGAGTTGCATTTGACTTTCCGTACGTAGGAAAAACAACAGGAGGTTTGAGCTTATACATATTCACACTCTCATCTTTATAAACATATCCGAGAAATTGAGCTGAAAATCTTAAGATTCTAACAAATATATTAAAGGTTATATTACTTGTCCATCGGCACTTAACTAGCTGAAATGCGTGAGCACCTATACTGAGTTGCTAAATAAGTTCTATCATCTAGCACGCTGTTCGGTTAATAAACGATAAATATCGATCGTGATTATTATTACTCGCTGGCTGGTTTTGTGTGAGAGAAAAATACTGTTTTGGCTGAAAATTTACGATCATTTACGACCAAGTTTAACAGGCTGTAGATATGTTGATTGCTTGAGATCTTCACTTTAGTCTAGCTCAAGTTCATCTTTATATCCGACGGGCTAATGTACCTTATATACTAGCAGCACGTTGTTAGTCCATAGCACGTTGTCAGTCCATGTTATTATTGTTGATAATTAACTATCAAAATCACTAAACCCTTGCCCGGGTTCATATTCCTTACAATGTCCACCAGCAAAGTACATGTTTTTATTAATGGTACGAGGTACGTGACAAATTTTTAGATTAGCGTTATATACCAGTAAATAATACCACACAAGAACGCCTAAACAAAATTTGGTAAAAAAAATGTTCTAGAGAGAAGAGTGTGGCACGTGCACAAAATGCAAAGTCCAACTCAACGGAAGAAGCTCGTAAAACCTTCCAAGCCGTAGTCGAACCATCTTAAAACCCGGAGACCTCAAACCCAAAACGGCCACACCATCGCTTGCTGCCTTGCTCTCCTACACGCCCACACCGGAGAATAAGCAGAGACCCAACCCAACTCGATCAACGCCGGCGCGTCATGGGCACGCTCGTCGGCCACGTCGCACCGGGCGTGGGCTTCATCGTCGTCGGCCTATGGCACCTCTACAACCACATCAGGCTCTTCCTGCTGCGTCCCGGCTCCTACGTCGCGCCCGTCTGGTTCCCCGTGCGCGGCGCGCGCCACCTGGAGCTCATTCTCGTCATCGCCGGCGCCGTCGCGTCCATCCTCATGGAGCTCATCGTCGGCCCAGCGAGGCACCAGCCGTTCGACGACGACGGCACGGTGCCCTCGGACCACCTCCACAACTTCGAGCACGCGTCCATCTCGCTCGCGCTGCTCGTCTACGCCGCGTCCGCCATCCTCCTCGACCGCGCCGGCCGGGCGGCGCCTTGCCGGGACGCGGTGTCCCAGCTCGCCGCCGCCGCGGCGTTCGCGCAGGAGCTGATGCTGTTCCACCTCCACTCGGCGGACCACGTGGGCGTGGAGGGCCAGTACCACCTCCTCCTGCAGGGCGTCGTCGCCGTCACGCTCGCCACGACGGTCCTCGGCGTCGCGGCGCCCCGGAGCTTCGCGGTGAGCCTGGTGCGGTCGGCGAGCCTGGTGCTCCAGGGCGTCTGGTTTGTGGCCATGGGTGTCATGCTGTGGACGCCCGCGCTCCTGCCCAAGGGATGCGTCCTGAGCCACGAGGACGGGCACGACGTCGCGCGGTGCCGCGACGAAGGCGGCGCGCTCGCCCGCGCCAAATCGCTCGTCAACCTGCAGTTCAGCTGGTACCTGTCCGCCACCGTCGTGCTCGTGGTCGCGCTCTACCTCCGGATGTGCAGCCTCTACAAGGAGGAGCCGCGGTACGTGCCGCTGGTTAGGGGAAACGACCATGGAGAAGACGATGATGATGGTGACGGCGAAGAAAACGACGTCGAGGCAGCGAAAGGCGGCTCAGGGCGTGTGCTCGGCGAAGCGAGGCCGATGGAGATATCACGGCCATAAGAGGGCCTAGAGGAAAAGGATTTTCAGCGTGGGAACGTTTGTGTAAAATGTAATTTTGTGCGCAAATAGACTTGGAGGTAAATTGTAGCTTAGGGCGTGGTTCTTTGTTTGGTCATCAGTCCTCACTGTATGCATATCTGATAAGGTTTGAATTACCATATGCTGTGATTGGAGGAGAGTTTGTACTTAGAAAACAGGAGTAATAGTCTAATAGCTATTGCAAATTTGGTCTTGTTCATGTCAGCTGCTTATATCATGAGTAGAATTCTGATTTGATCTTTGGCTGTCCCTCATTTACGATCTTGTTGATGATGAACTCTGGCAATGCAAAATTTATCCATGTTTGATTCCCCGAAAAGACTCTTTATAGAGGCTTGCATGCCGCTTAAAGTCCAACACAACACTAGCTACTAGTACGCCAAATTTAATCATATTAGTCAATACAGATTTGCACAAATCAACGGGTCAACACAAAAAATGCAGGATCTTCACCTCCTCCACCTGGATTAGAAATTTAGAACATGAGACTCCTAGCACATGTTGGTGACCACGTGCAACATAATATAATGAACCAAACATAATCTTACCAACTATAGTTTGTTTGTGCAGAATAACCAAACAAGACATCGCATACATTTATGCTAGCTTAGATATACTCCGTCACAAAATAATCGAATATCTTGCTTTCTAAGGAGTCAACCATTTTAATATTTGACCAAATATATAAAAAAAGATACTATATTTATTATAACTATCGTTAGATTGATCGCTGAATATACGTTCATAATAAACTTGTTTGGAGATATAAATATTAATATTATTTTCTATGTACCTAGTTATTTTTTAAAATAAAAAGTCACTCCTCAGGAAGCGGATGAGAAGCAAAATTCGTGGTTATTTTAGGACAAAGAGAGTACCGTATAAAATCCAATACAAATTAAGACTAATGCAAATAAACAATTTCTCTCAAAGCTTCTGTTCTTTGATGCACGAAAATGACTTTACATGCGGAGAATCACTAGTGCTCATGCTTGGACTAGCCATCAGTTTTAAAAATTATCATGCGTCAATTCAGTGATTATCATGAAGCCATCAGTCCAGTTTTGTTTTCCAAAACAGCAACTTATGGCTGATATAAAAAGGTACAATTTCTCAATTTTTTTTCTCACATAAACCGTCGAGCAAATGTTAGATACAAAAAAAGAAAAAAAAAAAATAAGCCTCGAAGCCCACTGTCAGTCCTGTCACACTCACACACGCAATGCAAACAGTCCTAGCTGCCCAGGGTCATTGTTGCGCCAGCAAGGAGCAAACCTGATGACACGATGTTAGTGCCCGATGTACAGAGATGTTTCTACGATGGTAGAAGTAGCGAATGGTAAAATGTAATTGACACGTCTTCTCTCAGAGACATTGCTCGTGTCTCCTCGCTCGGTTTTCTTCCCACCACAACCTGGTATGCATCTCACTGAATCTCTCCCGGGTGCACAAAGAACAGACAGAAAAGAGTAAGTTCTCTAACCATATAAAAAAAAGGACAGAGGTTCTCGATTTTATAGTCAACCAATGTGTTCTTAAAAGTAATCTCATTCATACTATATATTGTTGATACAAGTTTAGTTTGCAAATTGAGTAGCAATATCTTTGCAAAAGTCCAGGCTCTCAATGAGCACATAATAATTGCAGGGAGATAATAGTTCTATTCACACACACACTAAGGTAATCCATCCAAAAACCATGATCATAAGCAGAAAACAGCAAACCTGAATCTGACGCGACGTAGTTCTCTGATGCCACCAGGCAAAGCTCGAATAGTAATATACACACCAGACTCGTCCTCTTCTACCCATTCCCTCTCTTGGTCACTTCTGTTACTAACAGAGGCTGAAAGTTCACCTGATCGATCGATCTCTTCAGGAGATGAGCTTGTCCTCACTGATGCATCAATAGAAGTTTCTGTCTTTGCTCCACTAATGCTTGATAACTTAGGCGTTGATGCCAGTCCAACTGAATCATAGCATTGGTGCCCAAGGTAGCGGTCTTGGCGGTAAATGTTGCCAAGATGATTGGGTTGGTGCTGAAGACAATCTGAAGATGAATATCCTATGGCTCCACTAGCTTTTAGTGGTCTGTGCAAAGTATGCAGTGGCTGCCCCTTGTTAAGGGGAGCTGTAGCTGGGTTATCGTCTTTGGAGCTCTGCATGAAGTGCAAGCCATGACACAGCAGGGGACAACATAAGAAGGCATGCTTCAAATAATCACGTCTTGAAAGGTGATTCAAAGGGGCTCTTACCTCATTTTCAGACCTTGGAATGCTTGGCAGAGGAGCAGCTTGACTGTTGAACTTCTGAACGTTGTAAAGCTCCATGACCTTCTCGTAATTTTCAGTCCACCATCTTTGTGCTTGCCATTTGTTGAACATTTCACGGCTATTGTGCGTTAGTCCATGCATGAAGGAACACAACAGAAACTGGTAAGTTGTCATTATCATACAGAAAACACTTAGTTTTGTACTTTTGTCACCTGAAACAAGAAGTGTCACGACTTCGCAGGAAGTAGGAGTGGGTGGTGGCTGGCCGTGGTGTGAACCCTCGGCGGCGAACTGGCGGCGCCGTGACCGGCGCCTGGACTCTGGATGACAAGAAGGTGACGGTGAACAGTATTTTCGGCTGGGACCCAAGGGAGACGGTGAGTCTCAATCCCAGGTCCTCCTCCTTCATTCATCGAATGGTTTGCCTTATAGGCTGATACAAGCATGCCACTAATTTAGGGATAACAACTAAACATGCATAACAAACTAACATGCAGCTAACAAACTCCACACCAATTATTCCTGTGATCTAACAAACTAACTGACTCAAATAAACTACTTGTGACTCAGCCATCAGCCGGCTCCACCCCCTGGTGCAGCCGACTCAGCCACTGCTGTGGCGTCTCTTGCGTTCATAGGTCCGGCCGACCATAACAAGAAGCAAGCATATTGTAAAGTAAATAGCGAAGAAGAGGAAGGACCATACTGGACCAACAGAAGACAAACTTGTCCGTCTCCTTATTTTGTCCCAACATCATTAAACTTATGCAAGCTAATTCTTACTTAGTGCAGCAACATATTTTTGTTTATATTAAACCATACTGAGCAAGTGAGCAATTTTGTTTATATTGAACCATGCTAGAATGCACATAAACAGATATACCCATCCATTCCTACAAATTATATGAACTACAAAAAGAACTAAATTACTAGCCAACTTGCTCTCCCAGCTACGAATTAGAATCTCCTGTTGGCAAACAGCTAAAGATTGTTCTCTCTACCAGTGTTCAGCTTTGCACAAACTATCAATGGATGATTGGTGGGCATTTCATTTAGAATATGATTGGCTGAGTTCTGCTGAGCTAATCCACACATGTGACAAGAATGATTGTTCTTACAGTTCATGTTTATAGACAAAGCACCAACACTCAGAAAATCTCGTGATTTGTTTTTAGACCACGAAAATAAGCTACAAGTGAACCATATTAGCGTTCCAAATTCAGTTCATCTTCCCATATAGAATAACAATCTTTTATTACACCCTCATCCCATGTAACATTACTGGTGGTAGGTAATCAAAGAAGCGTACCACGAGGAACTTCTCTCATAACATTCTTAATACAGAAATACATTCCAATCTGAAAAAAAAATTACTTAACCATTTCAAAAGTTCAGAACACTGTAATAAATTTCACAAGTATCTTTTTTCCTTGATAGTGTATGTATCCAGTTTCTAGGAGTCATTTACAAGATCTACATGAAAGCCAGCACTACTTCAAATAAATATAGCCAAAGAAGTGCCACCAATCCAATTATCTAGGTTGGTTGGCTCCCCGCGTAAGCAGGGGGTGGAGGGACCCCATTAGAATAATGAGATACCAAAGCAAGGCTACCCTTTCTTTATTACAGAAGGACAACGAACGAACACAACTCTTGCAGTTTTTGTCCTTTAATTTTGTTCCATTAAGACTACTAGATGGTGGTCCTCTACATTTCAGACTCACTTTTTTCTTCCTGCTCTATGATGAGATTATTAGGTTAAGACAGATTGCGCTAACCTAATAATCTCATCATAGAGCAGGAAGAAAAAAGCTGAGTCTGAAATGTATGGCATGGACTCATAGAAGCACGAATGTGCAAGCTTGGCTTCAGAGCTATTCTACCTGGTAGAGTTTCAAATGTAAGTGACATTTAATTGATGCTCTGATGAATAATTTAGAAGTACAAATTTATTAGCTTTCTGGCAGACAGATCCAGATATTGTCCTGTTGCAGCATGTGAGTGACTAACTAGATGCTCTTTGTAGGAATCATGCCCTTAGACCCGTGTAGTTCAAATGCACAGTGTACCATTTGAAGAATGGAAATTTTGTCAGAAATCAACACATGATGCTTTGAGAAATAAGAGATTACATAACAAATTTCCGTGTGCTTTTTAGTCATCTGTTCAAGCCATATTGTACACACACGTTTATAACTGCTTGCGCTGATTAAACACTAAGCTGATGGCAAAACATCTTAAATGTCCCTTTTCTTGGTGGCTGGGACAAGTAGAATATTTTTTTTCTTTGGAATAAAAAGTACACAAATAACTTATGTCTAGAAAAGAGAGAGATTGGAATTGCAGGACTGCAGCTCATGCACAGAAGTTGCAGGTGTTGAGATTCTCACACAGTTCCCCCCAAATTTAGAAATCTATTGTGCATTGTTCAAAAAATTCCTTCTAATTCTAACTCATGTAATCATATGAGTACCCAAAGCGATGTCTTTTAGGCTTGTTCAGAACAGTGATGAATCAGAGTTTCTATTTGACTCTTCGAATGGTAGATATGTCTTTATCCCTTCCTTCTCCATTTTATTCTTAGTGTACAATCTCCTTTTCTTTTCCTCTTTCAAATTCCGAACTTCTCATGAAAGCAAAGGTGGAAAAGATCAAAAGGAACAAAACAACAAAGGCGAAAAGCAAGATAAAGCATATACTTGTCTCGTTTACCTAAAAATATGAAACCAATACTCAATCGAAGGATCATTGGAACTCCAAATTCAGCTAACAAGATCAAAGTTTAAATTTTTCCAGGATTAGACACTTCAATTTTTTCCGGACCAATAACTTTCTTACTCATTTTGCTTCCTCTGTTCCCACATGGAAACTTATGAAATAATCCTAGAGCTCAAGAACAATCATTCAAGAACAGAAGGAACAAACCAAATGAATTGTACAAGTTTCCTTAAATAACAAACCAGTATGCACAAAATTCTGCATCGCAGAGATGCAAACCTATGTTTTCCGGTTGCTTGGGCAATGGACAAGGTGATGCCCACAGCATCCAACGAAAGTAAACTAAAAATCTAAACCAAATTTATTGAATTTTAAGCACTAATATCTGTTGCAAGTATCAACCAAGTTGTTCTACCAATGAGCAAATGTTTGGCACAAATGAGAGAAAGACCTCACCTTAATCGGATGCGCTTCAGACCATTGCCACCCCGCGGCAGCGAGAGGAAGGTGATGAGCACCCCGGGCTCTACCTGGGCGACCCACTCCTTCGCCTCATCCTCCTCGCTGCTGCCAGCCGCCGTTTCCTCTTCATCATCCCCGTCCTCATCGCCGGCGAGGAAGTCGGTGCGCGTGCTGATCGACGGCGTGACGTCACCGCTGGACATCGCGCCCCCCGTGCGCAGCCTCGGCGTCGATGCTGCGGAGCTGCCGGCGCGCTGGTACGCGTAGTGGAAGCGGTCGGACCCGGACTCCGCGTACGCGCCGTGGTAGTACGGTTGCTGCCGCCGGGGAGGACGAGCCGGCGCACGGCTTGCAGTGCCGGTACGCGCCCAATGCCTTCAGCGCCATGTCCTTGATCTGAAACCCACGAAAATCTCCCATCATCCATCAATCGTAGTGCCCAGCTCGCACTTCACAGTTCACACCGTCAAAACAAATTTTGTACCAAACATTTCAAAAAACTTTGAGATTTTGGAGAAATTGAACCATTCCAACGCCTCAAAACCCTCAAAGCAGGCCGAATTGGTATCAGTTTGCACTTCTCCCAGGCCAAGGCAAGGTACATTTGATCAGATACACACAAAAAAAACAAATTTTCCACTCAGTCTAAACCAACAACAATTGGAACCCTGGTCCATTTCATGATCAGAAAATCACAAAGGCACCGAGAACAACCACTGGATTTCAATTATCGCCACCAAAGGCCCAAAGGGGGAACATTTCAAGAACTCAAGCACGGCGACCAACCTGGGCGGTGAGCGACTTGACGGCGTGCCTCGTGCCGGGCGTCGTCGCCGATTCACCGCCGCCTCCGGCGATGGCGTGGTCTTCGTTGTCGTCCTCCTCCTCCGGCTGCTCGCGCAGCGGCGGCGCGCCGCCCGGGAGGTGCTTGGAGCACGCGATGGACGTGAGCATCGCGTCTCGCGGACCTGACGCAAGCGCGCGCCCCTCGGATCCCGCGACGAAGGGGGGGAGGAGGACAGGAGGGCGCAGCGCAGGTTTATAACAGAACGGGGAACTCGCGCCTCTGCGATAGGAGTCGAGCTCTCGAGCGGAGGGCGTTAATGGCGGATTAGGATCCGGCGTTAGAAGACAGAGTCGCGGTGTGGGGGTTATTTTTACTTACCTTTTCCCGGGCTTCAGTTGCGCCTACTGTTTGTTCACTGAGATAGTGAGATGGTCAAACTCAATCAAATCGGAGGATTTTTGCAGTTTCACCTTCGTTTCTATATAAAGAAACTGAACTGCACAGATCTCTTTTCCTGTTCTCCGTATGGGACTGTGGACACGTTTTGTGACATTGGGACGGTGGACACGTTTTGTGACATCCGCCGCCTATGTGGCACGTATTTTCGGCCCAAGGGCCTTTCAGCTTTGACAACAGCACTGAGCAGAAAACCTCAAAGGGCGTACCTTTGCTCTATGTGGGTATGTTTAATGATGCGAAAAAAAAAATTAATACTAGGGGACTAGAGACTATTTTTTAGTCTCTTTTAACTAAATAGGAGGGACTACTTGAGGGACTTTTAGTTTCCAATCTATTAGTTTTTTTGGGAGAGGCTTTTTAGGACTAATGGACCCACTTTACCGTAACACCCTCGGTGTTACATTATATAGCTGTTTGCTAAAACACTGTATGAACATTTTTTCATGTATGTAATATAAGGTATAAATCAATATATGGAACTTGAAACGTTCATTTGAATCATGAAATGAATGTTACGTTGCATGTCACGTTATATTACTTGATGTCCTGAACGAATTTTTTAAACAAAAAGGCTAATGAACGCATGCATGTGAATTTGCTCTCGCTTTCATGTTTGCACGCAAAGTTGTCGTCACGTTGTCTTGGACGATGGCCGGCCAAACCATTGTGCTGGCCCATCCATATTTTCGTGCACGTGTGAAGGACTAATGGGAGTACAGGTCGGTGCCTAACTTGTCACTGTACGATAGTACGATGTCGGGAGGCAATTCAAGTTTTCGTCATCACCGGTCGCTTTAAGTTCCGAACGGCGTCGCCTCTGCATTTCGGCCTATCAGCACTCCACCATTTTCCAGTTAGCCATACTCATCCGCGCTATCGCGCTATTCTACGTCGAGCTACTAGCAGCGCCGACGAACTCCACCGCACCGCGTCCGAGCAAGAAAGCAGAGCAGCCGGAGGTGCGTACTGTTGTTGTTAGCTTGTTGACATCAGTCTGACGTCATCCCTGCGTCACACCTATTTTAGGGCCGCTTTCGTGTAGGAAAATAAATCTAGAATACATTAGAAATACGTCGCTATGGGCAGCATCCGCAGCCGCCTGGGCCTGCTCGCGCTTGCGCCTGCACTACCGCCTAGGCCTGCTCCCGCCCATGGCTCGCTCGCCGCCGTGGCCTGAGCTCCCTGCTCTGCCGCTCGTGTCATCCTGGGCAAGGCACACGCTTCTTCTTGTATTTGGCCACGCCATATCAGGTTGCTGCCGCTCTCAGATTGGGCTGCGCATATCGCTACTGGGCACACTTACTGTCTGTCTCATCATCAAGCTAGCGCCTACGCATCGCCGCTTATCTTGGCTGGGTGGCGGCGCTTGCGCAAGGTTCAAGCGCACTGGGTGGCAGCGTAATAGAATGGTTTTTCCGAATTACAGTAAGATAGGAAGTGTTTATTCAATAAAGGTTTTTAGCTAAACTTTGATAAATTGTGGTAACCTATGTAGTTGTTCAAAAATAATAAAACCAAGTTTGCTAGGTTCACAAAAATACCATCTATCTGTTAGTGTAGTTACTTCACAGTTAGTTGTTATGATGATAGGCTCATAAATTCTAATTAGAAAGCTTAGTATTATGTAGATTAATATTTGTAGGAATTTTTACGGTAAAATGGTGATAGCTATAGCTATGAAAATTTTACAGTAGGCTCGCTAGAATATTATGTACTTGCTGTAAATTTTATAGCCTTAGAACGAGTTGCTAAATAAAGTAGTTATTACCCTTGCTTTCTCGTATATAGCGTAAATCAGCATTAGGAGTAAGAATATCTGTAGTTGCTATAATAATAATGAATGTCATATTTTAAACTTGTTATCAGATAGTTTAGCACCGTGGTCGGTAGCACTAGCTTAGTAGTTAAATCGATATACTTTTATTTTAAGAGCTGTTGTTGTTATATTCATAAGCATTGCATTATCATTTCATGCATGTAGATTACGAACTGGTAGACTTCGTGCTCGTCGGCAAGCCGGAGTACGACGAGGAGATCGAGGAGTACGATGAGGAGATCCTCATGCAGGAGGGAGCCCAGGAGCCTGTTGGTGCTGACCCTACTGACCCGTCGCCTACCCAAGGCAAGCCCCGGTGCATAACTCCTATTTTTATGGTCACTGAATATATATATGTGATGCGCATTTAAGTTACATGTATTTTATGGAAACTACATGCATAAATATATCTACCTATGAGTCCTACTAATACAGGTCGAGTAGTTGCTATGCTCAGGATGTCGGTAGCGTGAGTAACCTGCCGTTACTCGCAAGTAGGTAATAAAATATGATCACTCATAATAAAATGATGAAAAGGAACTGGTGACCAGACAGGGATATGGATTGGGTACTGGCGGGCGTAAGGGGTTGTGTCCTGCGGCCAACAGGGCATAGCTCGGTTACATCTTTTTCCTGTCTGTGTTAGTTAAGGACCGATCGTTGTAATGGACGCTAGACAAGTCACAGATCTATTGTCCCGAGCGCATACTTAGGTATGGGCGCAGGGAAGACTTGTTGCTCTCTTATCGCGGATCTACCTCTTTTCGGACCGACTGATTAGAGGCAGAGTTGGTGGAGGTCCTTGCACCACACTGAGTCTAGAACTCAGGGGTGGAGGCTTTGAGTCCAAGTTTGGACGGGGATCTGGACACCCGGGATAGGAGAGTGGTGGGTTAGTCCTGCTTGTGCCTAGGGTACAAGCGGGGCGTGTGTTTTTGGGGCACCCGGCTGGGCACATTGGTTCGCGAATCGCCACCGAGTCGGTACGACTTGTCTTAACTCCAGCATCGTAGTAAGAACTGAAAGTTGAAAGGAGAAGAAATGGAACTGATTGCTCAACTCTTACTTGAAAGTAGAACAGGTGCTTATATAGATTGGCTAGCTGATAACTTAATACGGCTAATAATAAGACATAAATAAGGACTCACTCTTAGTGCTGCTTTTGCTAAAGAAAACCAGCAAACCATAAAGCCTAGTATATTCCTTGGAGTCAGAAAACTATTCCCATCAGTTGGATAAGTCTTGCGAGTATATTATGTACTCAGGGTTTATTTACCCCTGTTGCAGGTGATGCTTGAGGAGTACCCCTTTGTGTGGAGGATTCTTCTGGTGGGCACAGCCAGATCCTCGCCCTTATCGCTAGTTGTTATTTTTAAATTCCGCTGTTTATTATTCCGTACTCTGGTATTTGGTATTGTAATAATGTACTTTTTAAGAAACTCTGATGTATGAAATGAACTGGTATTGTAACTTGTTCTCATTATTGGATCCTTGGGAAAAATGTGGATCTTTCGGGTTCTCCCTCGGGGTGTGCCCGACGGATACCGCCCGCTGTAGCTTGCTTTCGGGGTGCTTGGTGTCTGGTGGAAGACGAGCGCCTCCGTAAGTGTGCTATTTCGGACGATTTTGCCATAGTTGGTACTAGAGCCAATAATGGTTATGAGTTCATCACTCTTTTTCAAAACTTAAAAATTTGACCAACCAAAGTTTGTGAAAAGTATGATGCGATTATATTATGTAAATAAATATAAGCCCTAGCAATATGGTATATCTAGGATAGCGGCATTGGTTTTATCTAATCAGTTTTCTGCAGGTACACTGACTTACGTTGCGTAAAAAATCGCTTAGTATACGGAAAGTGAGTGTGCGACGTGCCAAAAATTTTATGAATGCCGCTATATTCCGGCTCGAGTGAACGTGTAGGCCAAAGCATGCATCATAATAATAGCATCTTACTTGAACTAAAATCTCCCTTCATGTATAAGTGAGTAGTAAATTGGTAGGACTAAATGAATGCTTTAATAATTGTGCTGTCATCTCTCTAATCACTTGATTCTGATCGGAAGGGTGTTCTAATGGATGGTTCCTATCTCTTACAGATGAACCTAAGGTCTGGACGTGGGAGCACCAGTTCTGGGGTGGCTCACGAGGGCCAGGGTGACAGTGGCCGGGCCATTGAGCACGGCAGCGGGGGAGGTCGGGAGGTTCCACCTCTAGCTCCTCAGCCTTTTCCGCCGCCACCACCTCCGCCGATGACTCCCACAGAGATGATGGCTGAGCTGATGGCTGCTCATCGAGAGACAACCCATGCCATGGACATAATGGCACAAGCTATCGCGGGCCTCGCCTGCGGAGGCCACAGGGACAACGGTGGGAATGAGGGTGGTGCCCACCGTCCTGGGGGGACCGTCCTCTTACTAGGACTTCTTCAAGACTCACCCACCCACGTTCACACCGTATGTTGAGCCCCTAGAGGCAGAGCACTGGCTTCGCACTCTGGAGCAGAAATTTCGGCTGCTCGGAGTGACTGACGAGCAGAAGGTGTACTTTGCGGCGCAGCAGCTTTTGGGGTCCGCAGGTGCATGGTGGGAAACATTCCAGGCCACGGAGCAGCCGGATCATCCGGCAACATGGCGGGAGTTCTCCACCGCTTTCCAAGAGTTATTTATCCCTGCTGGTGTCATCAACCAGAAGGTGACCGAGTTTCTAGAGCTGCACCAGGGAAACAGAACAGTGATGGAATATGTGAACAAGTTCAATCACTTGGCTCAGTATGCTGGCAGTCAGGTGGATACTGATGACAAGAAGAGGGAACTCTTCTTTCGTGGTCTCGCTCCCCTTCTTTAGGAAAAGCTATACACGGTAAACTATCAGACCTTCGGGGCGCTGATG